ACACTCGGCTGCCCTCAGTGGCACAGATAATCTCAAATCCTACCTCACAGTCACCACTCTCAGCCTCAATATTCCAGGACTCGAGGCCCATGCTCTCAACCCCAACCACCTTCAAAAAACTAAATACCTTCCCCTTAGAGTCTTCACGGGTACAGACACTGCCCGTTCTCAATTCGCCCCCGGCAACAATAGCCGGCAGCTCTTCCGAGGGCGGCAGCACCGTGTGTCAGAGCCTACCGTCCTTTCGATCTTCGTTCCCCTGCGAGATCGTACCGGACGTCATCTCCTCAAAGGACCACTTTCTCAAAAACGGCGTGCCACAGCCCACCTATCCCGCAGTCACGTCCTCTCCTCGCCAATCACATCACAGCCACTCTCACAGCCATGGTCACCATAACTCGTCACAGTCGCATATTCGACGACTATCAGAGCAGTTCTACCCTACCCCTCTACTCTCCTCCACAGCATCCACTCCAGCTTACTCCCACGCCTCTCCGCCCAAGACCTGTGACATCTCCAACGTTTCAACCCCTTCTGCCCTCCATCAACCCCATTACTGGCCCGATCGACTAAAAACGGACCACTCTCGACCGCAGTCTCACTCTCACTCTCAGTCCCTATCCCAGTCCTCCTGCGAGCCTGGCTCTCAGTACAGTGACACTCCAAGCACCGGATACCCTACTCCCACAGACCCAACCAGCCAAGAAGGTCCTGAAAAACGCCACGACACCCCAACTACCACCATCTCATCCTCGGGGATGTTCAAATGTAACTACCCAGGCTGTGTGGCTCTGCCATTCCAAACTCAATATCTTCTCAAGTAAGCCCCATCGCTCAAAAAAAAACCTTCCCTCCATCTTATCGTCATCCGGATCCCATACTAACAATCGACCCCCCAGCTCCCATGCAAACGTCCACTCTCAGTTCCGGCCATACTATTGTCCCGTACAGGGCTGTCCGCGCTCGGAGGGCGGAAAGGGCTTCAAGCGAAAAAACGAGATGATCCGTCACGGTCTTGTGCACGATTCGCCCGGATATGTATGTCCGTTCTGTCCGGATCAACGACACAAGTATCCTAGACCGGATAATCTCCAACGGTACGTCGATCATCCCACTTTTAGCGTGGATGCCTGCCTATCATTACTGCCCCAGGCACCCTTATGCGTATCGACACCTCAAAACTGTGGCTGTGCTAATTTATAACGACAGACATGTTCGGGTTCACCACATCGACAAGGACAGGGAAGATCCTCTCCTCAGAGAAGTCCTTGCCCAGAGGCCCGAGGGAGCTAATCGTGGTCGAAGGCGAAGAGCCTAGGCATTGCCTTTTTCCCTTTTTTCCTTTTCCTTCCTACCATACAACAAGATATACCTTACGTCCTTTACATCATCGTCGTCATATCATCATCATAGTTGTCTCTGTTTTTTTTAAAGCGAGAGCAAGAGCGAGCAATTTGTTTCTATCTTTGTTATCGACTATATATATAGCTTATATATATATATATTCTGGCTTCACTTGCGTCGTCGTTCGCTTTCTCGTCCATCCATTTCATTTTTCCACTTTACTTGGTTACCTGCGGTTTGCGAAGGCGTACAAATATCGGCCGGTTCTCTTTTGCTTTCTTTTTTTTTTTTTCGTGTATTTTCTTAAATAGGTTTTTTTTTCTTTGTATTTTCTCGTCGTCTCATCATCTCGTCTCATCTCATCCCATCTTTTTCATCTCGGGAGCTGTGCATTACATTACGTCACCCATTCCCGAGCCTGTCTGCCATATTTCTCCCTCCTCCATTGCTGAACATGGCTTCATTTCCATTCGCATTAATGTTTTCCTATTTTAAAAAATTCCTTTTTACGTCCCTTTTTCTTCTTCTTTTCTCTCTCTTATCATGGAAAACGGTTATCCATACAGCCCTGAGACGCGAGTTTCAGGATAGGGGGCCAACGAAGGGAACGCCTGGTGTATATATTTTGGAAAAATAAAAAACTTCACATGATCGAATGGATAGGTCTATTCCAGTCTGTCTGCCCCTTCAACATCTATTCTTTCATTTCAGTTAATTCCCGTAATATAGGATGGATGGATGGATGGCCCGTCTCACGCACTAATGGATGCGTATGCATAGGGCGGAAGTATGTAAACAAGTATTAGACTAAATGTGTGTAAGCATGACTGCATCGTACGACCTAACAAGTAACTAATTTATACAATCTATCCCTTTAAATGAATACCCAAAAACGGCCCACGCCCTTGCATGTACCTAACTATGTGCTGGAAGTAAGCAACGGCTGGGTTGCTGGGTCCTCGACATCGATGTTCTCCTTGGCTGAGCCGTTCCTTTCACGGTAAAGGATGTAATGCTGCACCATGAAGATGAAGTCGAAAAAAATGCTGACGTTGCTCAGGCCAAATTTCGCTGGGTTGCCGGTGATACCGCTCCAGTCGTTCTCGAGCGAGGAATCAATGACCAGCTGAATCAGTGACAGGATACCGCCGATCAAGTCCAGGAGAATCTGGTATATGCTCCATCCCACGGTTGATTTTAACCGATAGTTTAGATAGACTTGTGGGCAATACTTGACTACAGTCGCCAGCAGCTTGACATAAGACATGGTATAAATCTATAGAACGACAAAACGGCAACTGCATGTCAGCACACAAACACGGGAGACAAAATGGCAACTAAGTAACCAGCTAGCTTAACTGGTTATAATTGCAACTGCTAGCAAGCTGGGGTTGCTGGTACAACTTACGACATCGATCCATGCCCAGTTAGAAGCATCGTTTCCGCCCTTTGACCACGCCAGGAGGAAGACGCCGAGGATGGTAAGCACGCATCCTGCGACCATGCCGCCGATAGCAGGGCTGATGTTCTGATGCGGAGACGCCTTGAACCCCCATATCATCGGGTAGAACTGGCTATATGTAATCACGCTGAGGGCGACTGCATGAAAGGCAAAGGCTACGTCGTTGGCTCGCACCGTAGGCTCAGGTGCTTCCGGATGACGAGCGGCATACTGGCCCCGGATGACAGGGGAGAAGAAGAAGGCAGAAGTGTAGACTGCATAGCATATGAAGCCTAGAACGTTGGAGGTAGGAAAGGAGATCGTTGAGCCCGAGGTGGAGCGTCGACGCCAGTTCTTGAGAGGCTGTGGGTAGAATGACAGAGACCAGCAGAGCATGCTATAATATTTATGATGCCGAGAGTCAGCTTGGGGAGGGGACGACTCTTGATCGGGCCAAGATCATGGGCCTTTTTGTGGGTGGGGAGATGACAAGAGAGATAAATCGTACTATATCCATCCCAGGAGCCTGTGTAGTGTACGAGAGCCCGGCTAAGTTAGCAAGATGCGCGCCTCTTACACTCGTACAAAAGGGCGTGGTTTTGATGGACATTACCTGGAGACTGCGCGCAGGAACCGCTCAACCTGGGGTGACATGGCCGCAGAATAGTTCTACTATCGTCTATCGTATAGGCGGAGAAAGAAGGTTGCAGGCCCTTTTACCATCAAGCAGTGTCCATCCTGTGGTCTTTTATAAAGGCTCGAGCTGTGGTCTGGCAGGGCGCTGCGTGACTGGAAAAATGTGGTCTTGTGCCCGGATGATGTTGGGTTGATTTCCAGGAAGCTAAAAAATATAACTACACAGCTGGCTTACGAGCGAGGAAGATGGCATCAATATTCGAATAGTTGGATAGGGCATGCGATATATTTACCTGTGTAGACATGTCAACTATATCTACTGCATCTATAGAGGCCGTTATTTGTTTATTCAAGTTTAGCTATTAACTCCATAGCTAAATCTTGCTTTGCAGCCGCCACGCCAACAACCCCCAGTAGACTCTTCGAGCCCATGCATACTATGTATATAATATCCAGTGCTGTGTACCTGAGCTGCCTCTGGCGGTTGATCCTGGCATATTCACGTAGTCTTGATCCACAAGATCCATATATCATATGTTGTCGGGCTCCTGGAATTCATGTAAGTACAAACAGGCTGAAATGTGCCATATCTTCGTTCAAGTTAAGTGTCCGTCGTAGAACCTACCCTGAGTTAAGGCATATACATAATACACATGCATAGATAACAATGAGCCATGTAGATATATATAATAGTTAATATATTTGATTCCATCCACTTTTGGCCTTTCCCCTTTTGGCTGTCTGAAAATATATATCACGTGACTCTACGCGTCCCAAAAGACGCGAAAAAGACAAAAAGTCATTAAGTGATTTTATTTTTTTAGAAAGACCAACAGCTAACATATAAATTCATAAAGTGGCCAACTAAAGCTGCAATGACAAATCCCAAAGAAGCCACTCCTCCTCCCACCTCGAGCGCGGACGAGAAACCCCACGCCGCACCCTCATTACCAAACTCACCGCTCGCCAAACGCCCCAAGGTCGCAGCCATGGCAATCCCAGAGACTACAGAGACACCGTCTGCGGCTACTACTTTGCCGTCTACCCAGTTGCTAGTCAAGAAACTGATACCCGAAGCACGCGCACCCACACGGGGATCTGCCTTTGCTGCAGGGTACGATCTATATGCTGCGAAGGATATCGTGATTCCTGCCAGAGACAAGGGCCTAGTGTCGACCGGACTTGCAATTGCTGTTCCAGAAGGGACCTGTGAGTTATCGAGTGTGAAGATATCTACTTCAACTGCACTACTGACCACGGCTTCTAGATGGAAGGATAGCACCTCGCAGCGGGCTTGCGGCGAAGCACTTTATCGATACCGGAGCTGGTGTGATCGATGCTGATTATCGAGGAGAGGTTAAGGTCCTCCTGTTCAACTTCTCAGATGTTGACTTTGCCAGTGCGTTCCTTGCCTCACCAGGGTTTCCTTTGTTTGGCAGTTCTTGCTAATCGACTTTTATAATAATATAGTCAAGGAAGGTGATCGAGTTGCCCAGCTCGTCCTTGAGCGAGTAAGTATATCCCCTTTGTAAGCTACCGTCTCTGTCGACTAATCAATGGCTAATACACGAGTTACTTCAGATTTATACCCCAGAAGTCCAAGTTGTTGAGCAACTGGAAGAGAGTGTACGAGGTGCTGGTGGGTTCGGAAGCACAGGCTAAACGATTTATGACTTGGAACTCTAGATATGATTTTGGTTTCTGCTCTAATGTTCGGCTTTTTTACATTTATGCCCAAAAAGAATCAGAGAACAATGAAAATCTCACTCTAACTAGAAAGAAACTCCCCGAAAAATGGATAGCAAATAACACGAAAACATTACTGGTTCCACTCCCTCACTTTAAACTTCACGACAGGGTGTTTCACATATTCGACATTGCGTACGAGCCTGACCTCTGCTGCCTTCGATGCACGGAGGCGTGCTCTCTTCTCAAGCGCAGCTTTGCGTTCCTCTTCCGATAGATGGGCAAATTCTAAGTCGTCCTTCTCATCCTCTCTTTGATATCTTGCCAGCTCTTCGTTCCTCGCAATCATGGTCTTCTCCAGCACCATATGCATACTCGCCAACACCTTCTCCGTGGCTTTGGCAAGCGGCAACTCTGTGGCCGTTATATCATCTGGAGATACCCAAGATGCCGTTTCGCGCAGAGAAGGCACGTCTTGAAACACGGCTTCGCGAAGCCTTCCGACCATCAGAGCCCCAAACATATCTCCTGTTCCACTAAAGAAGCAATCTAAGCGAGGTACTTCGACTTTAAACAGTCGAGCGGAACGGTCAGATCGCATTGTTGACCCGAAAACCGCCAACACGCTGTCTTGTCGGGCTTCTTGGCTGGTAGAAGAATTGTCTGCCGTTGAGAGAGAGATGACAGATGATGCTGACGAAGAAAGAGGGCCCGGTAGCTGCACTGAAGTGACAACAACGTGTGGAACATTGTACGTACGGTGGATGACCGTCACCGCATCCGCCAGATTTTCAGCAGACGTGATCTTTATTCCGGAGAGTAGTCTATCATCTTGTTAGTGATCTTTTCTCTTCTTGTTGCTCTTTCCCCAAGGCCGGCACGGTCTTACTCTGCTTCGAACTGGTTTGGTAAGATTAAATCCGCATGCGAAACAAGAGACTTGTAGGCCGGTACCACGTCCTCGTTGACGTAGATACGTCCTTGATCCCCCATCACCGGGTCAAGTACTAGATGCCATGCATTAAAAGCCATATTCTTCACCAAAGTGCTTCTCCAACTCACCCCAGAAAAAGGAACCTGGCCGCTTGGATGCGCGTTTCTTCAGGTCCATCGCAATATCACCCACTGCTTCTACTGCAGTAGCGCTGGGTGCGTATCCTGTCAATAAGACATCAAAGTCGTTAAGGTAACTTTGCCGTAACCCCTCATATAGAGTTGTTATCTCTTGGGCTGATGACTTTGTTCCTTTAAATTGCCTGTATCCCGTATGGTTACCTATTTCGTAGTCAGTACTCCCTATCTCTACTCCCAAGTTGTAGGTAGAGAGCCTTACTGAAATTGACGGTGTTCAAAGCAGCCACTTCACAACCCAAAGACTGCATGGCGAGTGTAGCCATCGTGTTACCTACATATCTATGTCATCCAATTTATTAATGTTTGTCCTCAATAATCATCGATCGATTATACAAGTAGAGCCGATTCCATATGCATCCGGCAATCCCCGGGTATAGTAACGAGACATGATTCATCAGTAGGAAAACCAGGGTGTGAGGGCTTCTTCATACCCATAAACCACCTTAGGTTATCAATATGGCTGGAGTTAGCTAGGGTTCATTATAATTATTGGCCCATTTAACCGCAACATAGGGAGACATACATGACTCGCGATCGCCAACACTTTTGTCTGCGGTACAAGGTCGCCCTGTGCCATACTTGCAGTGTCTATCCTATACTGAGAATGAAAGAAAAAGAGTGAAGAGTCTTTTCAGAAATAATGTGTATGTATGTGCGACCGGCTCGGTTTATTGGAGATGTTAGCTGGGAAGCTGAGAAATTTCCTTGGACGAATGACTCGACCTTAGCTCCGGCTTAAACTATTTAGTTCCGGTTCATGTAAGCAGGCGGTTAATTCAACCACACATTGAATTCCATAGGAGCATAAGCATTGAGAATATTGTGCCCAGATTATCCATATCAAACCATATAATATATATATATATAGATATATATTAAGTCTTGAACTTCAATTTATACTTAACTACCTAATCGACGGTGGAAAGTCAAGCGCCACATAACAGCCAAATTCCCTTTATTCGTACAAGGAGAAGTAAAAGCTACATGATGAAAGACTGCAGATGGGCCTGAAGCATGGCTGGTAACTTTCCCAGGGCCTGGAACTATTGATGATGTTCTCTAGCCGCAAAACCCTATAAAAGGTGATGCCTCAGTTATTGCCCATTCTCTTTACGTATAGGAGATATGAGCAGGCTAAGGCTCGGCTATGGCAACCGGCAGAACTCAACGGAATGCCTCAAATCTGCAGAAGCTATGAGCAAATAGATACAAGGAGGATCTCTGGCCCATTGCCAGCCATAACCCCCCCATGAGCAGGTCGCGGATAACTAATGCCCTATCCAGCATTGACAATCGACCACCCAACAGTGCATTGTCATACCTGGATCACTGGGCTTTTGACTAACTCTTCTCCTGCATCCTCTTTATCATAATATTTATTCCCTCAATGACCACCTCCCACTCAACCTTGTGTATTCTCTCCTTCAGCGCCTCTAGATCTTCATCTACCCCCTTTATAAACGGAATCTCCCGTACTAGGATTGGTTCGCCCATGTCAACCTCTGCTATGACCTTATGAATCATAACTCCTGTCTTGTCAATTTTGCCTTCTAGCCAGGCTTCGTGGGCCCGTTCAATGGCATGCTATCACAGCGGTTAGAATATCGAGTAGTCATTTTGACAAAGGAGACCTCTAACTTACAGTTCCATTGAAGGCACCTGGCAGTGCAGGGTGTAGGTTTATAGTCTCCAGGCCAGCACTTGTCATTGGATCCAGGAACTTCTTTGATAGCACATACATAAATCCGAGACAAACAACAAGATCAGGCTTATCGTCTAGTACCAGGCGTGCTAAATCGATATCATATTCCTCTCGAGCTTTCTTCACTCCCTCTTCAGTGTTTGGATGTTTCTTCTTATATGATAATAGATTGTGGTAGGTAGTGGGTATACCAGCTTTCTTCGCCCGCTCGAGGCCATACGCTTCTTTCCGGTTGGATATTACTCGCACAACTGTTGCGGGAAGAGTTTTGGCGTTGATAGCATCGATAACGGCTTGAAGGTTTGTACCACTGCCTGAAATAAGGATCGTGAGGCGGGTAGGAGAATCCATTTTGGCTCAATGGTATCTTATTGATCTGATCGCGTGATGGAGGGGTTCATAGAGTGTCAGGTATGAGCATTTAGAGGAACGGATGAAGTGTAAACGAGATATGAGGCCTAGATATGCGGAGGACGGTGCTTGATGGCGTTGGGTTTTGATTGTATGTGTATGAGTATGTGTGCTGAGCTCGTACTCTATATATACAGCAATGGAAATTCAACCACTGGCGGGGCAGAAATTTGTCCAGCCCAGATATCGGGGCGGAAAAATATTCGCGGCAATTCTGGTTTAATCTGCTTATGTCATATTGGGTGCCAAGGCTGTAACCGCGAGTCTAACCTGACGTCAAGAAATTCTGTTAGATGTATCACTCTCTCTGAAATGGTTAGTGCTTCTCAAATTAAAAAAAATTATGTGTTATCTTTTAAGTACTGATCTTTGACTTTCATATTACTGGTAAATAAATGAATCCCACGCATATCTAAGTAAGTAATGCAGAAAATTAGAGGGAGGGAGGGAAAGGGTGAATGTTGATTCACTAGTCAAAGGCATTTCAATATTTGTATATAAACTCACGATCACAATGACGGTTTCAATTTGTTCCATAACTTGCCCACCCAAGGATACAATCATGAACTTTTTTTTATATAACCCGGATAAACAAAATATCCGTCTATCACGTGTACATTTTAGCCTCATGTTGACAAATCTCCTTTTTGGGAAAGGTCGCGGTTCCACCTTTTGCGATGAAAGTTTCTCTATATTCATTCAAAGGAGTTGAAAAGAGCGTTGCGACTAGCAGAAGCAGAATACTTGGATAAAAGGGAGCCGGCGCAAGGATGGATACTCTTAATCTACATTCCGCTTCTGAGTATCTGAATAACTTGCTTCTTGCTCGAGGACTTCTACGAAATGGAAAACGTATCGATTTCGCAAACCCGGGCAGTGCACCTGACGGCGTGGATGATACAATGACACAAATTATTAACCTGGTTCATGATTTGGTGACCAGGAGAGACGTGAGTGCCTCTTTTTACCTATCCCTATCGGCTACGAAACCGCGACAGTTGCACTGACCTTAACTTTGCAGCGCGAAGCCGAACAACGAGAAAACCTCGCGACTACAGTGAAAAACCTACGGAAAACAGAAGCAAAGCAGACGCTTCAAATGGTGAGTTTAGTCCAAATAATATATAAGGGAAGGGTTGCGGTTTGATAAGACTTGGACTAATGGTGCTGGCAATACTTTAGGAACAACTCGAGAGTAAAACAAAAGACCTGTCTCGCTCGATTGCCCTTGCAGAAGGCCAAGAAACAGCGTTTAAATCTACGATACGAAATGCAGATATTACCATACGCGGTCTAAAAGACCAAATGCAAAGGATGAAATCCTCAATTCAACAGATCCGAACTCAATGCGCTACAGATATTCGAAAAAGGGACCTCGAATTACAGAAACTAAAAACACATCTAACGGACCGACAGCGCGGCAAAAGAGACGGGCTTGGAGTGATGACAATTACGATACAGCCTCCACCGAAAACGAACACCTCGAGCCGGAGGGCACATGAAGGAGTTAACCACGTGGAGACGCCAGGATACAGTCTCAAGAAGGATACATCTGAGTACCTGACACAACTTTGCCAGAACCTAAGCGATGAGAATGATGCGTTAATACAACTGTCACGGGACACAATCCAGACACTAAAAGAGTTGCAAGGGTTGACCGATGCGGGTGACGAGGAAGCTGAGAGAACTGCAGGAAAAGAAGATAACGTTGATGCTACTCTATCACGACATGAGGTGCTTTCAAGGGAAATGGATTCTGCCCTTGAGCAACTCCGAGCCTTGCTCACGAACCCTTCATTCGTTCCCTTGGAGGAAGTCGAAATTAGGGACTCTGAGATTGCTCGTCTAAGGGATGGGTGGGAAAAGATGGAGTTGCGATGGCAAGAGGCTGTTTCAATGATGGATGGGTGGCATAAGCGAATATCCCATGGAAGCGGTTCGATGAACTTTGATGAACTAAAACTTGGAATGTCGTTCACAACGGACTCCAGCATACAGAAAGATACAGGTAGCACTGCGAACATGTCCGTCGATCAATCGGAGTCGGAGGACTCGGCATTATCGAGCAGACGGGTATCCAACGAGTCTTCCGTTCGACAGAAGAGACTGTTTGATATTGGGCCGTCAGGGCCTACCAAAGATCAGGCTCTACCTGCGAAACCCTCCGGAGGTGAGAAGGCGGCACCGCAAAGATCAGATGCAAATGACATTCGACAGAAGAGACGGAAACTGCAAAGAAACCGTCCCAACTAAAGCCAGACACTCCATGCGCCTTTGGATGTCATCCCATTTCCTACTCTCACTGTGCCATATCAAAGTTTATAGACTAAAGAGATTTAACACCACAAAACAAATAAGGGCATGGAGTAAACTCGAGAATCCAGCTTCACACCATCTTTTTTTTTATTTATTGAAACTTGTATTCTGATATCCTTCGTCATACTTCGTTAGTTATGACATATGACATGCAGAAGTTTTTTTCTTTTGGGGGCCCAAAAAAAAAAACCAACCGCTTAGTCAGCTCAACATGCATTTCCTCAACTCCACCACAAAAACCTCGTTTTCTCTTCTTCGAACCTCGAACTTCGCTCGCTGCCAAAAACAACGACTTACCGTGATTGAAACCTCGTTTCCTCCTCCTCCCCCTCTTGCATCCTCTTCTTGCGCCCTTTCCGGTCTTTTATGCTTCGATTCATGCCTTAATTCAGACGTTTACTGGTATAACTGCTGTGTTTGATACACCGCTGTTGCTCCCGTGTCCAGATTCGAGCCTTAATTGCCGCCCGGCCCCAGAACCTATCTTCGACGAGTTGCTAGCTGTTGCATTACTTGATTAATTTACCTATATTACTTGCCAAACCGCCGTGCAGCCCACTGGCCTGGTCTGTCACTAATCTTTGTCCAAATAGATCACCAACTGTCCGGATTCTGGCTGAAATTTGGATCCCTGTCCCTTAATCACATCCAATACTTGGGCATTGCCCCCCGGTACTTTTCTGGGGTATATTCGTCTACCTCTGTTCGACAGACGTATCTTCGCAAACTCAGCTGGTGCTGCAGGAGCTTTGCTTTACACTCGATCGTCACCACGGATTTTAATACTTCTCTCTTCGTTCTTCAGCCCGTCCTCTGTACACTCCCACGATATTTTCAAGAACAACCATGGCAAGCCACATTATTGGGAACAGAAACAGCACCCCTGAGGCTTCGAAGTCATCTCTTCGCCCCCCGTCTTCCTCCCGCACTCTAGGGGGCTCTCATCAGCTCCGTGCCTCTGCCGACATGTCCGGCTTCGCCCCACCGCTGTCCGCTCGCAATATTCGCCCCGCATCGGAAGTATACTTCAACCAACAATCTCAAAACCAAAACAATGCAGACGATGCACTGGATCGAGCTGCGCAGCAGTGGTTGGCGGATATCGATCAATATGAGACGACTTTGGAGGAAATGGCTGCCGCCACGTTGGACCAGGATTTCAAGGATGAGCTTAGCGCTATTGAGCAGTGGTTTCGTGTTTTGAGTGAAGCTGAGAGGACTGCCGCTCTCTATGCTTTACTTCAACAGACAACCCAGGTTCAAATTCGATTTTTCATTCAGGTGTTGCAACAAATGTCCCAAAGTCACCCAATGTCAAGTGTGTTGTCCCCCGCAACGTTCGGCGAAAAAGGTATGTTTACCTTCCCCAAAACCCCAACTCGTCTGGTTTTCAAATGATACATATTCTAACACTGAAGTTCTCAGATGCCATGTCCAACCGTCTAAGCGATGCTATGTCAAAGCTAAACGTGGAAGGGTCTCGCAACTCTCTGGTTCGCCCTCCTCCGTCTCCTGGCAATAAGCGTAACTCAGGACTTGACACTTCAACTATCAATGCTATGTTTCCCGACGCTGCAGCTGCTATTGCCAAGAAGAAAGCTGAGCTCACTCAACAAACTGGGAATGCTCCTGTATCGAACCGTAACAGTGCTGTTTTTAGTGGAGACAGGTCTTCACTGGTTGCTCCTACCATCTCTACCACTGACGTTGGCAAAGATAGCTTGCCTCAACCTCCTGCCTCTCCTTGGACTCATCGTGCGCCAGAACAACAGGCACCCATTGCACGGCCCAAGTCTTCATCTGGCCAGCAGCAGCAGCAGCAGCCCATGGGCCAATTTTCTCAGCCACTTCAATCTGCTGGTCTTCGATCTCCACTTTCATCTGGACCTTCCAATATACAAAACACTACCATCACCGCTCCCGATTTCATGCCAGAGCCTCCGATTCTTTCCCCTTACAACGTAGGCAATGCAAGCTGGGCTTCCATGACAAATACCCCCATGGTCTCGTCCTTCAACCAACAAAGCCAGCCCAACCAAGCCGATATGATTGCCAATGCCACTGCCATGAAACTCGCTGCTTTGTCAACTGTTAATAACCGTATTGCCTTAGATGATGCACGCAAATACCGCCGTACCCGGTCTAACGATAACCAAAACCGTATGCATAACCAGCCACCTGTTTCTCCCGGCCTCCCAAACACCATTCCTGGAACCAATGTCATCATGGTTAATGACTCTGGTCAAATTCTGAACCCTCAACAGGTTGCTGCTCTGCAGGCTCAACAGCAAGCTGCTCTCAGTGGACGTCGCTCTCGTCCTAACTCTCCAGGGCTGGCGCTTCAAGGAACGCCGCTACAGATGAATTTCACTTCTCCTCAGAACAACGGGTTCCTGGCTGCATATGACGCCAATACCTACTTGGGTAACACTCTTGGTGGAATGGGAGTCAGTCAATTCAGTGGCGCTGGCAGTCACGAAGGATATTTGTCTGATCATTCTGAGATCGCGCGTGGCCGCTCTCCGCGCGGCCGACGTGGAAGCTCGAAGCCACCGGAAGACCCAACCGACCCAGCTCTTCTCCAAGACATCCCCGGTTGGCTTCGATCCCTTCGCTTGCACAAGTACACTGACAACCTTAAGGATCTTAAGTGGACAGAATTGGTCGAGTTAGATGACAAAGGTCTGGAAGCTCGTGGTGTGAATGCCCTTGGTGCAAGGAACAAGATGCTAAAGGTATGTGCCCTGGCCTGCTCTCTTTTTTATTCGTATGTAGGTATTGATACTAATCATTGGTTAATAAAGGTTTTCGAACAAGTTAAGGAGGCAAAGTCGGAAGGAAAGCTCGACAATATCATCTAAAGCTACCAACACAGGCTGAAGATGCAGCACTATGTCTGTTTAAAAAAGGAAATGGTTTGTCCCCATTCGGTGATGCCGCAACGAATTTTTATACTATTTTTTCTCGCGATATCTACCTGATGTGACCACGTCTATAATCCGGAAAGAGCAGGACTGGTATGGTTGTGGAAGTTCTTGCTTTATATCATTTTTGGTGCCCGAATTCTCCCTTTTCTCATTAATCATCTTTACAACTACCCATTTTCTATTTCAACCCGGGAAATTGTTCATATTTTTATCTAGGCCATTGATAGCAGATGGATGTAAGGAGAATTCACTACATTGAAAAAAAAAATCAAGGCTCACGGATAACGTCCAACTTATAATCTCCCAGCTAAACGTGTCAAAATCCAAGTAGTGCTTCGACCCAAAGCTGTGGGCAACGAGTCGATGGGACAGCCTGCGACCATGGATGGTTCTTACTATACGTGAAGAACTATGCGTAGAATCCTTGTCTACACCCTCGTCTCTTCCCATAAAGCCCATACTATGTAATTAAAAGTGCCGGCAAATTGCTGACCATCAACTTGCAACCATTGGCCAAAAATCCTTCATATGGGCCAAGCTTATGACATAATTCCACTGTTGTTTATTCTTGTCCATGATCATTTCACAGTGCAAAAACAAGGATATAATTCGAATTGGACGAGTTAAAAAAGGGATTTAATGGAGGTACGGATGGACGAGCAGTGTAAATAGATCCTTGTGGTGGAAGAGGAGGCGTAGAAAGGTCAGGGCATAAGGCTCTCTCATACGGATATCTATTTCTCCCCCTTGTACTGTATAAAGCATGCAACACTCTCAATCCCCTCACCTTTTTCTCTCTCGAGCCTTCATCCGGTTGAATAATCATACTACGAAACAGGCTGCAACCGTAAACCGACCCGGGCCTTTTACTTCATCGAACAAGTATATATCCTCGAGACAATTCTCAGATCAAGCTCGCCATCGAGGTCTCTTCCCATCAAGTCCGTATTTCCCCCGCACCCCTCTCTATACAAGTTTAATACCGCAAGCAGAGGAAGAAGAGAAAAAGCCCATCGTTTTCTGCTATCATTCGTCCTTTGGTATTGATGTAATGTAATCGAGTACTAACAGTGAATGTCTTGCAGTCAGAAAGAGGCCCTTTAGCACATCTATACCTGCGTTGTTCCCATCCATAGAGGCTCGTTCCACCATGTCTGAGTACAAACTCATCGGTTCCTCGCCCAGCGAGATCAAAAATGGAGATAAGATCGAAGTACAAGTTGAAGGCCTGGAAGGGGTGAAGTTACTTCTCGTAAAGCTCGATGACCAGGTCCATGCACTTACCGCCAAATGCACCCATTACGGAGCACCTTTGGCTAAAGGCGTCCTTACATCTGATGCAAGAATAACCTGCCCATGGCATGGAGGTATGTGAAATGTTTCGTTCGATTAGATACTTTGACTGTCTGATAAAGAGCTATGCCTGATGAATATCTCTAGCTTGTTTCAACGTGATCAGCGGAGACGTAGAAGATGCTCCTGCACCCAACGCATTAAAGAAGTATGATATTACTGAGAAAGACGGAGCTTTCTATGTCAAGACAGACGAAGCATCTCTCAAGGCGTGGGGTAGGGAACCAGTCAAGTCTTGCAAAGTTGCTAGCAACGACAAGGTTGTAGTCGTTGGAGGGTATGTATCTCTCACACTTACTACCTCAATCAATATGTAACTGACGCTGGCCATTATAGAGGGAGCGGTGCTTTCGGTACCATCGAATCTCTCAGAGAGCTCGGTTACAGTGGAAGCATCACCATGATATCAAAAGAGCCCAATCTTCCGTTAGACAGAACAAAATTTTCCAAAGCCCTGATAGCTGATCCCTCAAGAATTGAGCTCAGACCCAAGGATTGGTATTCCAACGTCTCTGTAGAGACAGTGTCTGACGAAGTGACTGCTGTAGACTTCGAAAAAAAGTCGGTGGCTACGAAGTCAGGAAAGTCATATCCATATACCAAACTTGTTCTGGCTACCGGGGGAACTCCCAGGAGACTGCCACTTCCAGGATTCAAAGAGTTGAATAATATTTTCACTCTTCGGTATGTTACGGACGTCCAGGCTATCCTAGCCGCAGTTGGTGAGAAGGGAAAAAACGTTGTTGTTATTGGAAGCTCTTTCATTGGCATGGAGGTGGGTAATGCGTTAGCAAAGGAAAACAAAGTCACCATCGTGGGAATGGAATCTGCACCTCTAGAGCGCGTTATGGGAGCAGAAGTCGGCCGTGTTTTCCAGCGTAACCTCGAGAAATCAGGTGTGAAATTTCATATGTCCGCATCCGTAGAGAAGGCGACTCCGTCGTCCGCGGATGCGTCCAAGGTCGGCACAGTACATTTGAAAGATGGAACGGAGTTGCCCGCGGATCTGGTCATTCTCGGTGTTGGCGTCGCTCCCGCAACTGAGTATATCAAGGAGAACCGTTCTGTGAAACTCGAAGGAGATGGGTCTCTCAAGACGGATGAATCCTTTGCTGTCGAGGGCCTAAAGGACGTCTTTGCCATCGGAGACATAGCTACATATCCTTACCATGGCCCTGGAGGGCAAAGCGGTAAGGCTCACGTTCGTATTGAACATTGGAACGTGGCTCAGAACTCAGGCCGGAGCGTCGGCCGCACGATTGCACACTCGGCAACCTCGAGCCATCCTATCAAACCAAAGCCTTTCATCCCGATATTCTGGTCTGCATTGGGCGCTCAGCTACGGTACTGCGGAAATACTATGAACGGATATGATGATGTCGTTATGAAAGGGGAGCTGGAGAATGCGAAGTTTGCGGCTTTCTATACCCTTGGTGATACAGTAGTAGCAGTTGCTACTATGGGTATGGACCCAATCGTTTCAAAAAGTGCTGAGTTGATGAGGAGAGGAAATATGCCCGGAAAGAAAGAATTGCAAGCAGGAACTGATGTGTTGACCGTTGACCTCCCGGGGGCGATAGCAATGTAGGTTTGCTGTGGGCGGATCTCCAGATGGTTCCTTGTGCCTTGGTAACGCACTCTCCGGGACCCATATATTGAATTATATATAGCACTCTCGTAATTTTACATTTTTAAAGAATCCTCTGATAGGTTAATGACGGCGCTACAACGATGGTACAACTTGATAAGGCTAAGAAGTATCGGCTTCAGCTCGAGTTCCTCTTAGCAGACAGTAGAAAGTAATGTACTGAGAAAAATGATTATATATAGATATTTCTATTTCAAATAGTACTCATAATACATATGAAGCTTGAAAAAAGGGTATCAAGACTTGGGCCTATCTGGGCCAACGACCGGGAGCCAAATCAGTAGCAGTAAGAGAAAGGAAAAGCTGACGCAAAGGCATAACAACGATCTTAAAATCTCCAGGACCATGCTTATGCTCTATTGCTGCAGAAGAATAACACTATCGGAAGAATAACACTATCAAATACCCTTAGATAGAACAAAATAAAGCTAGGGATGATAGTATGCCTCATCGTCAACGGGGGATCCATGATAAGTGGTAGATATGTTATCGTCCGTTCTTCCTGGAGAGCATCGCTGAGTTCTGGTTCTAGCCTCACCCGCCTAGCCTTGCAATACTCCCAGTATGCAGGATGCCACCCAGCCTGGCCCCAGTCTATAATTGCCGCCACTTTCGGATTTGGCCCTCGCGATGGGATGATATTGGGTGCAACAAGATCGGAATGTGTATAGCACTTAGGTATGTTGATATATTACTTTTTAAGGAAGTTCATTCACTGACATAGTGTCTAGGTATATCTTGCGTTAAAGTCCTCCATGCTCCTACTATATACCTAAGCTCCTTGCAGATTATCTGTCTCTCATGGTCACTTACCTCTTCCCATCTCGTCTGCAGAGTCTCGCCCTCGATTAGGAATATATAAATAGACCGTTGATCCCCGTCTTTAGTCTAGCCGAAGACCTTAGCGATAGGTACGAGACCTTGTAATTTTTTGCGTACTATTATCTGCGTCTAGGCTCCAGTACCTCCATACTTAACAAACAGTCCTCATGACGGGATCCTAACGAGCTGTGGGCGATGGAAGTTTGTAGCAAGGATATTGCCTGACTCGTTGATTAACCTAATATCAGCTGGCGTAGGAAGTGTAGGTGCCCTTTTCTCCTCGAAGAAGCTGGATTTGGGGAAAGTCTTCATCTAGTCAGGGCTAGAATCCGTTTTCAATGTATCTGCCGCTATTTTGGATGAGGGCGTTAAGAAGGCGACAACCTCCCAGGCTGCAATTAGGAGAATCCTTGGTACAATCGCCGGCTTGGAGGTTTGCGGCTAGGCGGGTCTTACGTAAGATACTCGCACCTTTTTAACGCTGGAGCGAGTCTTTATGGACATCAAAGACACACAGAAGAGCCAGATGGGACCGGATAGGTTATCTGTTTGCCTCGCAGTATAGCAACGAACGGCTCTAGTCTCTTTCTTTAGGGATATTTTACCGTTTCGCTGTCTCTTGGACGGACCTTGACGGGACCGTGAATGTCATCATTGACTGATATCCAGTGGCAGTTGGATACTACCAGACACCAGGGATTTTTATTACAACTCACTTCAAATACCATACATAGTATTTGAAGCATTTGGGTCCCCGACTTAGCCTACATAATCTCTATACCCCATATTTCTTTCGAAGCTCCGAATTCGTCTGGCGATTTTCTAGAACTTTTTGGGCCTTGAACTCACAAGATGTATCCTACACCCCCTACGACCTGGAGTGGCCGCAGTAGGCACGCCGGTTCCTCGGGAGACGATTCGTCAGCATCAACTGGGTCCCGCATAGATTCTAATGATCCCTTCCGAGTAGGAGGACCAGGACCCCTGCCCGTATGGCCACTAGAAACTGGAAGCCCACAGCAGATATCAGCACAGCTTGCTGAGAGGTTAGTAAACCTCGCAATTTTACACCTCGAACGATTTAGTCTAGGAGATATCTATCATCGTATTACGGTGGTTCAGCGATACTGCAAAAAGCATACCCCAACGCCCAGAGATAATACACTACTTATATCCCTTTACCCTTCGAGCAACTCCAACTGGGTAATACTCCTTGATGAGATGATTTCGGCCTGCGCGGAGATAGGTTTTACTGGCAGGATTGAAATGATTGATCATCGAGCCTTGGACGGTATGAAATCATTTCCGCCTGAGGTCTCCCCACAGTTAGCCCAAGACTGGATTGATATACAACAACTAGTTGCTCGTCGGCTATCATCCCTTAACGCTGATTGGAAGGTGGTAATGTTAGCCAAACGTGGCTATTGGAAAGACGTTGCAGTAAACACCGTGCTAATAAAGGTATCTTTACCATCTCACACGGCAGCAATATCTACCAGGGACAGCATCGCACTTACCATTGGTGATTTCATGGATCGCCATAATTTACAGGTCGAAGTGGCACGGGCGGATTATCTCTGGGGGCTCTTTTCAACGGAATTTGCAGGGGATCCTATGGCCACTTCACTCAGCTCCTCGTTTATTAATTCTTGGAACTTTATGGGACTGAGCGTAGGACGCGCTGATGGAGCCGGGACAGGGACGATAGGAGGTTACCTTAAATTCCTAGACTCACGTGGTCACGAGCAGGTGCTTGGGTTAACCTGTTATCACGTTATTCGGGCACTCCCCGGAGGGGATCTTGATCCCAGTAAGTATTGGTGGTTGTACAAAACATTCCTCTAATAACATCTCTACTTAAAGAATTTCGAACAATGAATCAAGGCTAACTTACGACTAGCGATCCCAACCACTGGATCAGTGAATATCAAAATTCCTTGTCAATCCCCTTCAAAAACTGATCTGGACCAAGAAGTCCATCTTGCTATGGCAAAAGTCCCCAAGGTTGCAGGATTGGCTTCACCATTTTATCAAGAGCATTTAAAGAAGTTGGTCGAACAACGGGATCAACGGCTAAGGGAAATCAGCTCGTTTAATACCAAGATTGGGGCCTGTGTTGCCACCTCCGGATGGAGAAACACAGATCTTAATCCATCATTTACTTCCCCTTCTATTCTGCAAGACTGGGCGCTTGTTCACGTGAAAAACGGTCGGATGTCTAACAATTTTATAGCAGATATCGTCGAAATTCACCCAACTTGGAAGCCTGAATCTGCTTGGGTCACTAAGATAGCTAGGATCCCTAATACCGAAGCTCCTGTGGTCAAAAGAGGCCGTACAACAGGTATTACCCTTGGGTGGATCTCTGGACTTGTTCCGGCTAGATTTCGTATAGAAGGTTATCCCGGTGGTCTTCATCACCGTGGATGGGGGGTTTTTAATCCTTCTACTCACTTTGCGAAACCTGGTGACTCTGGATCTTGGGTTTTGGATATGTCTGGCCGGGTTGTTGCCATAGTGATAGCAGGTGACTCTTCAGACGGGTCTACGCTGACCTTACCAATGACGGAGCTAGTCAAAGACGTTGAAATTATGGTTAAGCTCCCAGCGGGTGCCTTCCAGGTTGATATGACGATACCAGCAACGAGACCGTGATTAGTAGAATGCGGCCTTACAAACCTCCTTTACCTAGGGGAAGTGATGCTAATTGGTGAGCATGATGGACCATGTCAATGTCTTTAGTTATCTTGCATATTTTATTTTATGGAAATACTTTTCTAATGGAAACTCAGACCACATGGTGCATGTTCGGTTTCTACTATTTAATTTTGACGCTCTATAAATAAGAAATCAGGTGAAGGTACTATTAGAATAATTCAAATGTCCACAACCAGGTATTGGACAAACGTATACTCCTTGGCTAGTACTGATGATAATTAGATTGTCATGCTAAAAGAAGTGGTGGTTTTACTAGCGCTAAGTTGCCTAAATGCCAGACTTATGGGAAGTGGCCTCTCTTTAAGAATGATAAACCCTTATATCAAGCTAATGCTACCCCTAGGACCTCTGATGTTACATTTTTTTGCCCTTCCACAGAGGACTCATATTTAATATAAAATAAGCCGACACCCAGCCTTTCGTAGAACCGATACCCCGTTATATATGCAGAAATCCTACAGATCAAACAATGCTCCTATTAATCTCTAGTATTGAACGTCGGCCACGTCTTTGGCTTCTTCCATGCCGCCCTCCCCGACCTCGTTTATTAGCTTTGGGCTTCAGCTTTGGTTTTGGTTTGCGTTTAGCCACCCATCCGGGGCCATGGAACAGTGACGAGTCCTCCTCAAAGTCTTCATCATCTGCTGCTGGATCACTCGACAAAGTTAGGTCTACCACTACTGACCCTTCGGGAATCTGAGACGCGGAGGGCTGGCTGTCTTCATTTCTATCATGAACTTCTGCAGTGGGAAAGTTATCTTCATGTGACGGAGGTGAAGTGGATTTTGTTGCTGGATGCTGAGTTTTCATGTGAGGACTGTCTTTTGGTGGTGGTGAGGTTGATCCAGCAGGCTGATAATTAGATAATGGTTTTAATGTCTTTGGTGGGCATGGGGTGGACTCCGCAAGGAGGTCCTCAATTGTTGGGTCCGGGTCATTATCGGAGAGATGGTCAATTTCGTAAAATGGGTTAGGTACGAGCGAGTTTGTATTGCTATCACTGTCATCGTCCGACAAATCAGGCTCGTTGAAATTGTTTGGCGGTTGAGGTGCGTTTTCTCTATCGCTACCATGTGTGGAGGTGTTCGCAGATATCCAGTTTTCTAAAGCGGACAACGGGGATAATTTTGTTTCTGGAACGGTGGAATCCAAGGGAGGACTCGGAGATTTGCGAGGTTCAGATTCTGCAGGAGCTTCCGCTGATGCTTCTGGGGATGGGATATAATCAAAGCCGGTGAATTTAGGCGATGCGATAAACGGGCTCTTTTCACGAAGGGATTCTCCAACGTCGTGTTGCTCATTCTCCTGTGGAAGAGGGCCGTTTTCTTGCACGGCAGCCTCACCCCCAGAGCTGCGTTCCTGAATAGTTTCTTCAGTGTCGTCCTGCTTATTCTCTTCCAGATTGGGACCGCTGTCTCGCACAACCTCGTCATTATTAGGGGCGGCCAACTCAGAATTTACAGACGATCTAAATCCAGCATCTCTGATGAGCTGCGATATTTCCCGGCGGCTAGGAGAGGAAACATGTATATCCCCTGGCGGTGAAGAGGTAAGAAGAGGCGCTTGCTCAGTACTGTGGGAAATTAGTAACTAATATACGTTACAACGTACGGGGGTTATACCAACAGGCGAACGTTTTGCGTCTCCGCCACCTCATTACCTAAATCTGTCGGCTCATCCGCCAGATCTTCCAACCCTTCTTCCTCCCGGAGCTTTACCGGGTCCTCTTCTATATCTGCAAGTTGCTCTCTTGGCTTATTCGCGGACACACGCGCAGCAGCGCTAACCAGTTTTGCATCAATGAGGTTATGGATCTCAAGATCCCTCAAACCATCGTCTTCCTCATCCACCTCATCAAAACCAGGCATTTCGAACTTGGTATAACTTCGAGGGTTATTTTCATCCGCCTCATCAGTTTCTAGTACATCTCGATCGCGTTTGGCAAGGCGAAATGTGATTATATCGCTTGAAGTGATATTCTCTACAATTGCAGTGCGATATGGAGATACTTGGGGTTGCCAATTCGTAGCTTTCGAGAGGTCCAGTTGTTTGAATGCAAAAATAGCCCCAGGCCATAAATTGCTTTTGTCCGCATTAGGTAACGTTGATATATCTGTTGGTAATGGAGGTAGATCGTCATCCGCCGGTTCTATTTTGTCCTGTGCTTTAAAATCTTTAAGACCGGGTATAGGTCCATTGTTATGCGGCTTGGCTTCTGGGTGCACCCCAGCAATGTGAGATACATCTTCCATCGGCTCACTGGCCTCGTCCCCGTAGTCGAGGGTAACATCCTCATTTATATAATCATAATTCTGATTATACCCTTCCGCATATAGTTTCTCATTGGCACTATTAGAGCAAGATTGCCGTTTGTGCTTATTCTTTTTCCTTTTCTTGCTCTGAGGCGCCTGGCTAGCACGTAACTCTTGAATGACAGCATGAGCATCGGCATCCCATCTTTGTACAAAGGGGAATGGAGGCGTAGAGAGTTCGATATCATCATAAACACATTCCGTGGCCTTTAGAACGATCCTGTCCTGCCAATTCTCAACTGGCTGGATTACTTCTTTTGAAGGTTCCGAAGTGATACACCTGGGTTTCTTTGCAGTAACCTTTGGGGTTAAACTATATTTTTGTGCAAGTTTATTTCGAGTCTGCTCTTCTTCCTCTTTCGTTTTGGGAGGCTTGACGCCCAAAGAGCCGAATAGAAGACGCCGAGTGCTGGCAATATCTAGTTTCGATTGCCTCGTTGAGGCGGTAGAATTTGATAAGGGAGAAGCTTTATCCTGAGCTGGAGTCGAAGTATGAATGCTGTCTACCTCGACAGCTTGCGAAACCACTTGATGCTTTCTTTTTTCGCTCGATGGAGATGGTATCTCAACACCTCCTTCCGCTATGTCCCGTAGTAGCTGCTCTCTCTTCTTCTCAAAGTCTGATTTTTCCTTAGAAGTTATTACCTCCAGCATAGAGTCTATGGCTGCAGAACCTCCTTTGCCATTCTCCCAGGCCCGCATGTCATCAAAATTAGCGTCTTTATCTAAAATCCCCGCAATTTTTAGTCGGAGCAATCTTCTGCGCCATTTTGCCCTTAGATTGCTGCGTTTTGTACGTACTGTTCCGTGGCCCGGTGGGTTGACTTGTCCTTTTTCGGTGCTATTCTTTTTATTTGTTTCTAGTTCGGATGGTTTATTGTTGCTCGAGGGTACCTTTGGTGAGGAGCCAGGGCTGGAATCAGAATCTGAGTCCGAGTCGGAAGAAGTTGAATCAGAGCTGGAACTAATGTCTGAACTTGAATCATAGTTGGAATCTGGCTCCGAATCTGAGTTGGAATGCGAGTCTGAATCTGAGTCTGAACTGCTATCATTACCAGAGTCATCTTCATCAGAACTAGAACTTTCCTCTTCCGACGAACATTTGTTAGACGGCTCTTCCAGGTGACTTTTGTCTTCGGGGCCTGGCAATTGAACTTTCTCGGGCGTGAGGTGTGGGGTTTTACGCCGCTTAACGTTGGGAGTGGAAGCTATTACACTCTCCATTTCTATTACGGGTGGCTCAACAGGTACACCCCCGGCAACAGTAGACAGGCACTTTTCCTCATCTCCGGCTGTAGCTTCTTCTTCTTGGGTTTCCGTAACGGCCTGGGCTTGTGTGGTGGGCGGCTCCTCTGAGCGCACGACGTCTTCCCTCCGAGCGGCAACATCTTCAATTACCACGGTCGTATCGTTAAGCGGTAAAGTGGCCTCCAACCCACCACCATGGCTCCAGTCTCCGGTTTCCAATCGTCTTCTCTTATTTCTGGGAGGAATATTGATAGACGGTCTAGACACTGTTGTCCGTTTGAGATCTTGTCTTGATTTTCCGAAAGGGACGCCATCAATTAGGTATGTTCCGTTAGCAGCTATTTGGCGTCTTCCCGTTGCTATTCTAGTGGCTATGTCTTCAGGGTCAAGGGGACGAATACTAGATGTAACAGTGATGTTAGGATGTATGCATGGTAGAGCCGTGGATGTGGTACTTACACAACCTCGTCACCTTCTCTAAGCAGAGCATCAACACGCATAAAATGTAAGCATTCCGAGTTCATGACTTCCACAACATAGTCATGGAGGAACCAGTGCTCGCTATTATCATGTGCTGCATCTCCAGTACTCACTGCGGCTCCCAGTGGTACCACCTCGTTTACGTCTGCCAACAGCTGAGAAATGATATAATTGGCATCGTTACCACCACCAGCAGCACCGGTAGAGGTATAGGCAGTGTTAAAGCTTGCACTGGCGCTTAGAGTACGAACAGAGGCAGGGCCCGAACTTGTGAAGGACGACAAGGCCGAAGGTTGGCGGGACAACGGTAAGCCAGAATTCTGCGTTACAGGAGTACTCCATAAGAGGCGCGTAACCGGTAGCTCATGCCGGTGAATGATAAGATGAAGGCGCATTATCGCGGTTGTGCAAGTCGTTGTCTGAGTGGCCCTCTAATGGTCAATCCGTAACGGCTTCGCGGTCATCTTCGACCGAATTGTAGTCGTAGAGAGGAAACAGAGCCAGTCCACACAGTAAATTGGTTTGTTGAGTTTGCGCAACGATAGAATATATCCGTTCAATATGGTGTTTCGTATATAAAACCACTGAAAGAGAGACTGTTAAAAAAGGTCAAGGAGCTTGGGCCAAATTAAGGTTTACAATGACGCGGCTTGGCATTTTAAGTGAAGTTAAGCAGAAGTGTTGGTATATTGCTATTATTATTGATATAGACAACGAGGAATAGGCATCTGCAGCAACACAATGAGATTGGAGGAGGAATACAGAGTGAGATGTGTTCTCGGCTCGGTCGCTCCATAATTACATTTATATTAGGAAAAGCGTAATGCCTTTTTGCCCTGCTTCTACTTCCCTTTTATAATAACAATCGTTATTAGCAATAATCACAGTAACAGCTCCATTAATTCCCCCTTTTAACGCCATTGCGAAAAGAACGCACTCCTCACGCTCATGCTAGTTATTATACTCCCGATGTCGAAGTGGGACCCCCAGCTTTAACTCCACCAATTGTCACGCTACATCTCGCCGGGTGCTAGAATTACTTGAGTAGTCCAAAGGCAAAGACTTTTCAAGTCTAAGTGTTGACCCTTTTCGGCGCCGGGACCGGTTTTCTGGCCGGTATACCGAGATTCGGTAGGGGCGGGGCCGTTCTCCTCGGCTGTGGAGGTGGCCTTTCTAAAGGTAGTGAGACCGACGAAGATGGTAGAGAAGGTAGATCTGTCGTTAACGTCGTTGGGGACTCCGATACACCATCCTGCTGCCCAGGGATCTGGTAGTGTCGAAACTCTCGTGTCTGCTTCTGCATCCGGGTGTCGATGTGCTCTAATCCATCTGTCTCGACCGTCATGGCCGTTCTAAAAGGCCGATTAACGTCCCTTTCAACCGTCACGGGCGGAATACTGGTAAACGCAAACGTTGGGGACTGCGATCCGGCTTCGCTGGGGAATAATCGTTCGTCACTCTTTGAATCTATATCGTAACCACCGGGACCATAGGGGCCGAAGCTGTTGCTTCTGGGGTTACCTGGGGATACTGAAGATATTGGATCAGTTGCAGTCCATGATGAAGAGCGTTGTGATGCGGCAAGTGGGTTATACTCGCGCCTCGGGCCATCCACTGGCGCAAGAGCATCCGCCATCGCATCCTCGTAACTGGGCGGGGGAGCTTCTTCATAATCTTCTGTCAGCATGGGGTGGTTTGCTGGACCTGGGCGTGGGGGTTGGGGAGGTGGTATATCCGGGTTTATCACGCCGGGGCTAGGACCCGGGCCCGGACCTGGCATAGGCTGGCTGGGTGGTAGGTGGCCAGGGCCAGGACCAGGACCAGGACCAGGACCGAAGCCGAAACCAGGACCCTGTACAGGAGCAGGAATAGGCCTCTTTGATGGTTGGCCGTCCATTGCGTCTAGTAGAGCTTGAGGCGGGGCGATGCCAGAGAATACCTGAACAGCCATACGTAGCGGAAGGACGATTAGGTCTTGCTGTAGGTAAATGTCAGCACACATTCGACAAAGTAGAGTTATTGAAGAGGAAAATTGAATAAACAATCCACGATGGCTGGGTCAAATCAAATATAAAAAAGTACCTTCGACCCAACAGGCCCATAAGCCAGTCCGACCCTTATCTCAAGCTCATATGCCCTTGACAGGTTACACGTCTCAAACGATGGTGAGACGGAGTTAGGTAGAGGTATACGATTCCACATTTCTGCATCCATTTTCCACTCCTTACCTGCTCTCTCACTACCATTGCCCAAAGGCATGCCAATATTACTTCGAGTGACGATGACCCAGCTTCCGCTTTCAGTGCGAGTAAGATCCTGAGCACGAACATGAGTGTAGGATATAAGTTCTAGCTGGAGAAGTTGCAGGTGAACGGTTTCATTGCTGTCATTGAGTTTTTTAATCAATATTCGGAGCGGGAGTGGCTCGTTGCAGGTTAGTATTGGAGGGCTAGGCAGCCGTGCATCGACGGAGAAGCGAGGAGGTAAATCGTTCTCAGAGCTACCTTTAAACAGACCCTTTTTTTCCTGGGGTGAATGTGGTAGTCTAGTCTTAAACTGATGTTCTCGTCTTGCATATGATTCCTTATCAACTTCCTTCTTCCTTGGTGGTTCAATGGGAAGGAATTTGAAGTCCGCAAACTAGGTACGAGAAATATCAACATCGTGCGTTCGTGGTATGCTAATAGTAAAAGGAGCCGAAAGCGTACCCCTCTATAGTTCTCCTTGTAAAACTGCGGCCTGACGACTGTTGCCTTGACATAGTACTTGATCTCTGCTTCACCTGGGAACCCAGTCAATGACGGTGGAAGTGTCCTCCGAATATGTTGGTTTGTATCTCGAGCAACCTCTACCCTTATACCGGCCATATTCAAGTTAGTGGGCAGTTGATTGTCGATACAATCGTTGTTAAACGGGAACTAGATGGCGAGGTCAACCAATGTACCTGACAAGCAACGGTCAAAAAAAAAAAAAAAAAAGGGAACCAGCGGATATAACGCACCCTGAACCGAAAAGGATACTCGTACACGCCTGGCGATAGGGTATAGAATACATTAGGCGAGGCATGTTCCAGTACCTCTGGCGAGGGAAAGACTGTAGCGACTTTATATAGTAGCTAAATAGAAGCCCCACGTTAGCATCTCATCCGACCATTTTGTGCCTCCCCTCCCGCCTTCGAGTGCGTCCACTACCAACTAGCTATCTGACCTTGTGCAATTCAATCTCGGTTCGCTTCTTGTCTGATCGTTCGTTATGCGGATACTTTGCTGAAGCTAGGCGAGTGCGACTCTCCCCCTCTAGTTTCACGACGATGGAAGTTATGGGGGTTTCGGTCGAGAGAGCCAGCACCGCTTTGCCAGTGATGTAGTCGAGGTTTGTAAAGTATGCATGCGGCCTGTCGAGGAAGATACGGACCGACATGATGTCGACGGAGGAGAGAAAATGGCCGATGGAAAGGGTGGTTTGTTTTGGAAGAAGCCGCTTGTTCAACGCATCCTTCGACTTTTTTGATCTTATTTATCGAGCTATCTTCCCTAAGCTTTTGTCTGGGTAAGTGCCTATTAAGTAGTCCTTATGTATACTATCCGGGAGGTGGCTTTGCTGACAGGGAAGTTGTTTCTTGCAGGTGTTTTCTTTGGGATACAAAAACGGCTGAAGATTGGAATATTTATAGTATGACGTATCCCCCACCTGTCGTTGTACCATCGTCCAGCCACACTTGATATCTACATAGTACAAAGAAGAGTCGCATTAAAATAGCTGTCTACGGGGAACTTGAACTATGATCCATGGTGCATAATCTTCAGCTGATGCGCGCCTTGTCAAGCCGATCAATCGGGAGGACGAGGATCTCCAGCTGTGGCCTTGATAGGACGAAGCAGACATGGATAATAAGGTAGATGCAAGAGTTATGTATTAACCATATATACAATAACTACCGTCGACAGCGTGAAGACACCCCGCGCCACAGGCAGCATCGAATGATCAGGCATGAAACAGACAGCACATAAATAAGAACGAAGCTCAGCCATCCGCGCGTCATCGCCAAAGGAGGCGCAGTCTGCATATAGAGGCCAGAGCCAGCGAATATGGGGTACCTTGCCTGCATGTCGAAAGCCGCTGCTCAGGTAGAACAGAGCAGTTAAATACGGAGAAAAACGGCCTAACGATATGTTACCTGGGATTTTGATATATCAACACGAAGATATAAACAGATTAAGATATAAAACATGAACATGAAGGGTTCACGTGACCTCATGTTGTGTCGGCGACCTCAAGGAGCAAGTTCAAGACAAGCTGGAGAAGACAAAGACAAAAGAGAAGGACACGAGTGGAAGCTTCTACAAGGACGGAGAGGTTCGTGGAATAAGAGACATTAGGTATTGTATAGGTATGGGTATGATTATGGTACTGGCGTGTGATAAGAATTAAAAAGATCTGTACTCCATCCCGCTAATCAATTAAAGAGTAACAACATGGCCCCAGAACTAGATTATTGACATGATACAGCAACACGACCGCGGTGAAATTTCGGAAGAAGCATGCGTTCGAGTTGCTTAAAGGGCGAAGGCAGCGGCAAGGAGGCCGATAACACCAGCAGCAGTGCCGAGCTGGAATTGGGCATTGCTGACGGCGGCACCCGAATGGGTTGGGGAAGAGCCAGAGCCAGAGTGGGTGGCAGATGGGGAGGAGCCGGAGCCAGAGCCAGAGGTCTCAGAGCCAGAGCCGGAGCCGGAGCTGGAAGACTGAGAGCCAGAGCCGGAAGTGTTGGATGGGCTGGATCCGGTGGTGGTAGCAGAGCTGCCACCGCTGGTGGGATCGGGGTGAGCAGCAGTGGGAGTGGCACCAGCGGTGTAGAAGTGGGACTGGATGCAGCCCTTCTGGCATGCGGCATAAGCCTCAGGGCCCTGGTTGGTAGGGCATTTGGAGGCACAGTTGGTGGTGTCCTTGGCGTCCTGGTTGGATGGGCAGGGAACCTTGAAGCAGATAGCTACGCAGCAGATGTCGGTAGCAGGGCCTGTCAAGACAATATTAGCAACCCTTATTAACAGCTTACTGGGTATCCTCTTCCACTCTGGGGGGTATTGTTCCTCTAGATGTGGAGAGAGAACGGGGTGGAGAAGATCGATAGTACATACACTGAGAAGCACACTGTTGCTCTGGGGTCAAGCTGGTGTTAGCGGCAGCAGCAAAGGCAGCGAAAGCGGCAACGGCAGCGACGGTGAACTTCATCTTGACTGATTTTTTGGTTGGTTTGCTTGAGAGCGAGAAGCTGGAGTTGAAGGAAGGTGAGGTTGATTAAAGTAGCGTAAAGTGAGAAAACGAAAGACGAAGAAGCGAATGTAAGAGTTCTTGAAGGATGGAGAAGAAGAAGAAGAAGAGAAAGAGAAGGACAAAAAAAAGGAGAGATCGCGCTTTAAGAGCGAAATGAAAGGGGGAGAAAAAGGGAAAAAGACAAGCAAACAGCCGCGTTACCGTATGCGAAATTACCGACCTACCCCTGGCGATAAGTGGGACCGCGGGAGTGCAGTATAGCTCTCTTATTGGTCATTGGATGTGCCATCTCTGAAACAGGCCCAGGTGCTTGGTAAGTGACAGGTATCGATTAATACACGATGCCTGCCGATGGCCATTCTCCAACAGCAACAGTCTTTTTTCCTTTCTTTTCCTCAGTGGCTGTTTTCCCACTTCACATCAAAATAGTTTCAATATAATGCGAGTCCGGGGGTGTGAGAGTGTGTGGAGAACCAATCAGTGTACAAGGGCGCTGGCCAGCGACCGTCCTGTGAAGCTTGGCAAGATTTTGTCTTACATTCCTGGGGGAAGGTTGGTTGGGCGATGGGCGATAATATGGGCAGCATTGACTATTTGCGAGTCGCATGAGCATGACCAAACACTGATTCAACTAGTTTTGAGTTCGGGCATATTACATAGTAGAGCTGTGGGCGCTCAAAGGACTGGCTGGCAAACTGCAGGTGGCAGGGTGGTTTCCCTGCTTTGCCCTACTACACCACACCCATATCTCGCAACTTGTCTCTCGAGCTGACAGCACATGAACGTTGTGCAGCCATAACCTGACACCCATCAATTGTGTACGCCCGTATGCCGATGTTCTTCTTTCAACGTCCGCCCCATCTTTGCGCCTACTCTGCCTGTATCGAACTCCCTGCCATTCGCGAAGAAGAGATAATTACATAGTACGACAAGGGGGTTCGTTTAAGAATAGAGTTGAATAAACTCAAATCTAGGCAAACTTACCTGCGCTTTACTTAATCAGGACATGTCTGCCGATTAGCTGACTAAGGTACTATAGTGTGTATTAAAAATAACAGCACGCTAGCGGTCATTCCATCACGTGACTTTAGTCACCTGATGCAGCTGTCGGTATCGGAATTTCTATAATCCTCATCGTATTTTCAGGTACCTCAACGAGCTTTCTGTGAAGCAGCTTGATAGCGATTCTTGTTTATTATTCTCAACGCCGCAAGACGATACAACTCGATGCTCATGAGCCAGATTGCCAATGAAACCGACTCCTTTCCCGTTCCTGCTGAATATTGGCACCGATATCGTTCATATCCCTCGTATCCAGAGACTAGTGACCCACTCTGTCGTCAACAGCAGCCAAAGGACCTACCTTTCCAGATTCGTGCGCCGCATACTTTGTAAACAGGAACAAGCCGTTTTCGAGTCCAAGTTCCAGTTGGCCGCCTCCGTATCCAATGCTGCGTTGCCTGCACAACCTATAACACCTCAAAAGTGTACCGATATCGCGAGATGGCTTGCGGGGCGCTTTGCTGCTAAAGAAGCTGCGAGGAAGGCCGCACCAGGCGGTGCATCGAGTATTAGCTGGAAGGAAGTGGTGGTTCGCGCGGAGGCTGGTGGAGATGGGCGGCCAGAAGTGGTTTATCTTCGCGAAGGTGACTCTGTAGGTCAGGTTGGGAAGCTATCGATCTCTCATGATGGAGAGTATGTCGTTGCTACCGTCATCGCGGCCTCTCCACAAGCGTAAATTACAATCAACTCAACGCAGTAGCAGAGGCATGTCCGTGATGGAACCCTTGCGTGCCTAGGAAGTACCAGGGAGATGTATTTTGAAGGGCTTTTAGCCATTTTCCACCGTCGTTCAACGGGTTACTCGGTGTTTACCCACCAATTCCTCCACCATGGATTCGACGAATATCAACCTTGAGCCCAAGGTTACATTTTATTCTTGATGTACTCAATAATTCCTCGATGGATCGGGCCAGTCATAAGGCCCTCAACGTGATATGCTCGTTGCATGCTAGGCCCTGAATTCTCCGAGCCTATAAGAATCGTTCCATGCTCCAAGCATTGCCTTCTCCGAGTTGAGTGCAACGCACCCTTGACTTTGCCTACATCTTGTTCTTTACGCCTGTCACCTACTGTGAACAGTTTCCCTTCATCGGCCCTGTCTCCGGTCGAGGATATGCGGTTCCTCACACGGGCACTGACGCCAGCGCGCAAGCTAACCGCAAGAGACATGAGCTCACAGAGCAACAATCGCAGATTATTTGAGTATACTTCCGGCCGATTCCTGTAAGTATTAGCATGTTTATTTCTATACGTGATAACTCGGCTTAACCGTTTGCTGTTTTCTAGGTTCAATGAGGACCTTCGCCTTTCAGAACGCAGAGTGCAATTTGATCGCGATGCTCTCGCTGCTGCCATATGTCATACTATCAGCCGGCCGGCATCCGACCTTACCTCAATTACAAAGCTCGCTGAAGGAGGATTTAACCGTGTAATACAAGCGACATTCAATGACGGCTACGCAGTTCTTGCTAGAATACCTTATCATTCACTAACTCCAAAACATCATGCTGTTGCAAGCGAAGCTGCTACGCTTGGCTTACTACATTCACGCGGCGTGCCCGTCCCGAAAGTACTCGGATATTCTCCTGATCACACAAATCCTGTTGGTGTTGAATATTTGCTTCTAGAGAAAATTGATGGCGAACCCCTTGGAGATCGGTGGTTCACGATCGGTAACAAGACTCGTGTTAAGATCATGAAGCAGATTGTTGAAGCGGAGGCGCGGTTTATGAACATTCCGCTTCCAGGGAGTGGCAGCTTATATTACCGTAAAGACCTTGGGCCGTCAGAGTCGAGTATCCCTCTATCTGAACAAACCACTCCGGATGAGATCGTTATTGGCCCTATCGCGCAGTATGAATGGTGGTATCAGGAGCGATCGTCAATAAACATTGACCGTGGCCCATGTATTTCTCTCAACTCTTTTTCAAGGTTCATACTCTGCAAACGTTGCTAACCGTACGCGCAGGGAAAGCATTCTTGGAATGTTTTGAGGCACCAGCAAAGCGTGAGATTCAGTTCTGTGAACAGTTTGGCAAGCCTCGCCTCCATGTGGAACGTTATCTACGCGAACTATATAAATTAGAGAAAATGACACCGACTACCCATATCCAGAACTTGTCTAGATACCTCCAACTTACACCATATTTGGATATCCCGTCGGATCACCCATTTTCTCGACCAGTTCTCCGACATCCAGACTTCTCGCCTAACAATATCTTGGTTAATTCAGAAAATGAAATAGTAGGGATTATTGATTGGCAGCATGCTGTGGTTTTACCCCTAGGTTTATGTGCAAATATCCCTGCATATTTCCAAAATTGGGGCGATCCGGTATCAGAAAAACTGGCAAAACCAATGGTCAACCTTCCAGAAAATTTTCATACCCTGAGCGAAGCTGAACAAGAATCAGTGAAAGAAACGATGCGAAAACAAATATCCCACTTTTATTACGCTGCCTTAACCATGAACCAGTTACCAGATCATTTTGACGCTTTACGGAACTACAACTCTATGCTTCGGGCGAAGCTCTTCACTCTAGCCGGTGCTCCCTGGGAAGGCGACAGTTTGTCCATGAAACATGCAATGATTGAAGCGTGTCAAAAGTGGCCGATGGAGCTCGGCGATGCACCATCCACAAAGCCCGCCAGCTGCCCCGTACAGTTCGGCAAGGAGGAAATTATTCAGTGCATGGCTGAATATGAGCAGGTACAAGAGAGATTACAGGACTTAGCAGAGATGAGAGCCTGCGCAGGCGTAGACTCAGTCGGCTGGGTCCCAGATGACGAGCATCTTGAAAAGTCGAAGGGTATCGCACGCATGATCAAATCGGGGCTTTTAGAGCATTCCACCACCGATTTGGAAAAGGAGGCTGTACGAAACCATTTTCCTTTCGATGACCACAGTGAAGACGTTAGAGCATCAACCTTGTGATGATAAAATATTACTAGAAACGCCCTAATAGCGCGATTATTAATCTTTAGCTAACTCCAACGTAAAGAGATGATATTTAGAGGATGAGGCAGGCAAGGCAAAGGCGTAAGGATAGGGATGAGCCGCATTTCAGCCTGATCCACTTTGAAATATTCCATTAAAGTACAGAGTAGTAACACACTTGGGATTTACAATATCCTCTCTCACTATCGACGACCAACAACCATGTCGAGCAACGCAGCGCTCATCGAGCGCATATCAGCTTTCGTAGCAAAACATATGGCGGGCCACGACCCCTCCCATAATGCCCGCCACGTCTCCCGCGTAGTCAGACTCGCGCAGACAATCCTCGCCAAAGAGAAGACACGCAATACCTCGATTACATATGACGAAACAATAGTCACTCTTGCAGCCTGGATGCATGATATAGCAGATAGGAAGTATCTTCCTAAACCAAGCGACGGCGGAGCACAGGTAGGCATCCCATATCCGCTTAAGCAGTAACTATTACTAGAGAAATTAATATGGGTGCAAGATAAACCCCAACACCATCATTCACGATACCCTGATATCTCACGAAGCAGACCCAATCATAGCTCAAAGGGTTCAGAAGATTGTTTCAAACGTCTCCTACTCCACTGAAATAAAGGACCCAAGCATCGTTCGGCACCTAATAAGCCCTGAAGGCGGATATCCCGAGCTCGCTATCGTGCAGGATGCGGATCGTCTAGATGCCATCGGCGCGGTAGGAATAGCGCGATGCTTCACTTATCTCGGTGCCAAATCTAAAAGCCCAAGTGAGGAGGGCCCTGAGCCTGACCTGGATGATGCGATTGAGCATTTTGAAGAGAAGCTGGTTAAGCTGGAAGGCATGATGAAGACTGAGACTGGACGAGAGATGGCCAAGGAGAGGGCTTTTCGGATCAAGGAATTTCAGCGCTGGTGGGCTGAGGAGACTACTTTCGAGAGTTGATTAGAGCTGGATAGATTTGTATCAATCGCTTATTGTGTTGAGCTGGTTTAGATTATATTGCTATGTTACCCTGTTTATCGACCTGACCTTAACCTTGTCCTATCTAACATGAACTCCCTAGACCCAAGCAAGGATAAACTCACAAGAAGAACAAAACAAAACAAGTGATTGATAAATTCGTAAATGATGGCAAGTCAAGCTGGTGAGGACGGTGAGCGCGAAATGGCTAGGTATGTAGATCTGAGATGCTCAGCAATTTCATATGCAAGGGTAGGAAGACACGCAGAACTGGACGCCAAAGCTGGAGGGAGGAAACTGCTGTGAAAAATGTAGATTTATGTTCTTCTAGGTAGTGGGCAAAGAAAAGAAAGATTGGTGACCCAGGAGAAAAAAGTTAAGTACGAAACTGTGTAGATAGGTGAGTAGATAGACACCATCTGAATACGAATTGTTGCCCTCCAACGCCAGAGTTCCCAGTCTCAATAGTGGAAAACAAACAGTGTCAAGACATCGCAGAGGGTTTCGTTGGGGAAATATCCAGTAAATATTATAAAAATAAAAGCAAAAACACCATTTATATGATCGTGAGTTAGATATTAGCTGTAAGGTTATAGTTGTAGAAGGAGTTCAGTGGAAGGCCCCTCGTGTGAATGCAGATATGACAAGTATGCTACTCGTCGAGAAGGTAAATGTTGCACAAGTAAGCAGATCGGTAGTGAGTGTCTTAAACTCGATCTCTCGCGAAATCAAGAACATCGCAGTCATCTTCGAAGAATCCATCTTCATCAACGATGTCTCCACTTGCACCTTGGCCCCGTTTGCGACGTGTGGTGATAATGACATGTTCACCACCTAGGCTGATAAGGTTCTCCATTTCACGAGGCTTGACCTGGCCTTCGTAGTTGGGTCCATCATCGTCGTCGCTGCGGGAAACACTTCGGACATGGACTTTAAGTGTCGGGATATCATTCCCAAATACCCATGGTTCCGACAGGGAAGTGCTACTGGACTCGGAGGAGTAGACCATCAACGTTACGCGGCGATCAGTGTGGAATGGTTGGTAGGGAGCATGGGTCTGAATTTCAGCTTGCGCCAAAGGGGGCGACGTTATTTTGGAACCACCCGCAGGGCGATGGTGGACGGGGCCAGACCAGAAACCAGTGACGGTGGTATCCGAACTCCGGATGATAGGTTGTTCGTGTGTATAGGCATTCTGGATCTCGGATGGAAGGCGTGCTTCGAGGATCTTCCCTCCGAAAAAAGGTTGTGCCCGTTTTCTATTTTTTGATGAAGCAGAGCTCTTGCCAACTTGATATACTTTGAATGAGCCACCGTCCATGATACCGACGGAAATTTCCTTGCTGTGATCATCGCTAATCCATACGGCCTTTACACCTATGCTATCTTTTGCAAAATTAGAGGGATGGAGGCGGTTTTCACCCACATATCGGAGGCTATTCATGGTTTCTGTAGCTGCACCAACGGATTTGCTTAACCCTGCGGCAACAACTTTACCTCCCGCGGATGGAATGGCGAATCCTTTGGTTACCGCAAATGCTGCACCGACGCTAGGGGCACGGCCACGCATAGCCGCTAGGAACGGTTGCGTAGTATCGCCTACTAGCTTCATGGCACTTGAAAAGGGATTGCGGGGTGCATCGTCAGCTCCTTCATCTCGTGTGTTTGATTCAGCGTTGGTTGCCGATGCAGAGGCAGTTGACCGTCGTAGCGGTGGCCATCTGAATGCGGAAAGTGGAACTGCATAGACATGGGTGGTCCCCTTCTTAGTAATAATGGCAACATGCTCACCATTAGCAGTCCATATGACATCTCGTATCGTTGATGTAGTCAACCTCGCATACCGAGCAACTTGTCGCACATGAGTAGCAGGAGGGTTAGACTTCGCATTGGAAGACGGATCTTCTGCAAGGAAGGCGCGAGCTCGGCAGTGACGAATTTGCATCAAATCCCAAATACATTGTATGTCGCCTTTCTTGCTCGCAGTCAGTAGCATGAGTCCGTTGGGCGATAAAGAAAGAAAGCTACAGCCATGAGGAGGTTGGAACGTAGCTATTGGGTTTGGGTTCGTAGATTTTCCATCTTGGAAGTCTTCCAGTGGCTTCAAGTCAAAAATAGAGACAAGTTCTGGTTCGTTTAAGGGAGGGGATTGAGTCTCTTGTGCGTGGGTAGGAGGTAGGATTTCTGCAGCAAAACTATGCTGATCCATTGACTGGGGCCGACGTAATGGGGTGGAATGGCCAGTCTGCGAATCTTTATTCCAATAATTATTCCAAGTTTGGAGACCCTGATCTCCAATCCATCGTGCACCTTTGAAAACTTCTTGAGTCACGCCTCTCGCGACTTTATTAAGAAAACTTTCACCCTCACCGGAGTCTACCCCACAGGTAACGGAAGGCCGGGATGGAGGTGTATGAGCATCAACGCCGTATATTTTTCTAGCCGTAATATGAGGTGGGATCGCCCCTTGGAGTGAAACCCGGGTGGGTGATGGGCTGATTACGGCAAGCCAACGTCCGCTGACTGAGAGTATGGGTACATCCATACTTTTAGCTGCTCGTGCGGCCTCTGCCTGGGGGTCGTCTGCGTCTGTTGAAGCAGAAGAATTAGAGTATCTCCGGCTCTCTTTTGGTTGTATGTTTGTCCATAATTTGCCAATACATTGGAAGATGGGAGGAGAAGGTGGACGAGCCACGCCAAAAACCATAACTTCGCCACTTGTACCGGAGGCAATAATAACCAAATTACCACTGGCAAGCAGTCTCAGGTTGGCTGTAGGTGGGGGTATGTACGGGGCGATGCCAGGATAGGTATCAATACAAAGGACTGGCTTAGTAGCAAATAGGGTTGAAATAAGTTCTCTAGTCCGAAGAGAATATATCTGTACTCTCGTCTGTGCCTGTGGGATATCTGGTTTCGAATTTACTGTCTGCCTAGGAGAGGAACCAGTAAGTAGATCCAACTGTTCAGAACCTCCAGATGGGACTGGTGAATCAGCGTTTTCGTCTTTTGGAGCAAGGCCGTGGATTGTAAGAGCAACTAGAGGGCGCAAAGCTGCAAACGGGTCAGTGCCAGAGGACCATGTCAAGAACTTGGCATCAATGACTCTTCCGTTCAGTCCCCGAATAGAGCCTACTACTTTGGTTCGCGAGTTTTCTATCGCCAAAACGTCCAAGCAACCGTCACGGCCTATTAGAATCACGTTCCCCCCTGTCTTGGCGGACTTGTGTGAGGCACCACTAAGAGGTTCGATAGCACAGAATGAATGTCCAGGCTGCTGGTGTTGCTTGACATTTTGTTGCGGCACTCCAGGGATATCAACGTCAGGCGCGGAATAAAAATGAGCCTGTGGGAGATGAGGCGGCGGGGGATAGCTCAGCCTATTGCTACGATGACTGCTAATGGAATAACGCTGTTGCCTCTCGCGGGGTATATTGTTTGGCGGCGTAGAGGCTGGACTCGCATCTGCATAGCCTGGTGGTCGAAGTCGTGCCTGTGGAGGTGAAGTTGAGGGAGAATCTTGACGATAAATATCCCCACGAGGCGGTAGAGCGAAGGCTGGAGGTGATTCACCGAAGCCGACTCCATCTGTGGGGTCATTCGGCGGGCTTTTTCCAAACGGCACCCCTCTTGCCCATGAGTCCGTTCTTGTAGCCAAATCTGCCTCACCTGGGGATGGTGAATATGGTTCCAGGGGTCCAAAAGCCGGTGAATCAGCGGCGCTTGGGGGATCAACCGCCGCCGGAGCGGGTGGGATAGGCGGCATAGAAGCGGGAGATTGACTCATTGGCGAAGGCTCGGCCCTATATACGTATAAATTAGCATTCGCTTTGAAGGATGGATATATGCATGGACGTCTACTCACGATTCATCAAAAAGCGTTTTCGCTTCAGTTCTAACTGTGCTATCATGGTCACTTCTAGCAGCATCGTCCGACTTCTTCTTTACCTTCTTCTTCGCCACGTCTGCGGATGTAAGCGGTGGTTGGGAAAGTGGACTTCTCGGAGCTGGAGATTGGCTTCTCTGGTGGCGGATGTTAGACGCTTGCGGCATACAAGGTGACGTGTTCAGCGGCCAACGTTGGCACCGTAAAGACTTTCAAGCAATACCTGGCCCGAAAGACGCCGCCCTGCGGGTCTCTTCTTCTCTTTGTCTCTCTTAGGTTGAAGGAAAAGTGTAGTTATCGTTGATGGTTGGCTTGCTACGCGTTTGTTGCGCGCCTACCGCAGTCCAGATGTTAGCTCCCAACGAACGGCTTATCGCGGAACGAAAAAGCGGATAAGTTGGTCGACAAGCAAGCAGAACTTGTCTATCATGTACGTACAGCAACTTGCTGAGTCTTTGATATCCTGATCCGCGAGGGATCTCAGTGAGGAGGTAGCTTTGAGAAGCTGAAGACAGGTATCACAGTGGGGCAAACAAGCTCCTGCCGGCAGCTGCAGGATGCGCGGTCAGGTAAGCAAGTTAAAGGCCAGCCTTTTTTGTTACAAGCTCAAGGTCGTATAGATGGGAGGCTGTTCTCTGAGTCTGTATCTCTTAAGTTGGGATGCAAAGCAGGAAGAGGTTGGCGTTTCTCATGCAGTGAGGGGGAAGAAGAAGGCGATGTTTCTCTCTCTCTCTTATAAAAGACGTTCCGACTTTAAGAGGAGGTCACGACACTCCCCGATGCGGTCATGGGCGGACCTTGCTGGATGGCGCTAGACCTTACTGGGTAATAAAAGTATGCAAC